TTCTTTTCTCTTTCTGCTTTTAAGATTCTTTTTGTCTTTGGTTTTTGACAGTTTCATTCCAATATGTCTTTGGAGAAGAGCTTTTACAGTTGAGTTTGTTTGAGGACCTATGAATTTCATGAACTTGGATATTGAAATCTGCCCCCAGATTTGGGAAGTTCTCAGACATTACTTCTTTGAATAAGCTTTCTGCCCCCTTCTCCCTCTCTGTCCTTTTAGGACTCCAGTAATTCAGACTGTTTCTTTTGATGATATCCCCTAGATCATATAGGCTTTCTTCAGCCTTCTTCATTCTTTTTTCTTTGTTCTTCTCTGACTGGATAATTTCTAAGTGTTTCTTCACAAATTCTTTCTTCTCCTTGGTCCACTCTGCTGTTGATGATGTCTATTGTGTTTTTCATTTCCTTCATTGTACCTCAGCTCCAGAACTTCTTTTTAATAATCTCTCTCTCTTTATTAAACTTTTCCTTTTGTTCATGTTTATTTTCCTGATTTTGTTGAAAGGTCTTTCTCTGTTTTCTTGTAGCTCATCGAGCTTCCTTAAAATGGCTATTTTAAATTCTTTTTCAGATAAGTCATGGATCTCCACGTCTTTGGGGTCAGTTACTGGTATATTATTGTGATCCTTGGGTGGAGTCATGTTTCCTTGATTTTTCATGTTCCTTGAAGACTTGTTTTGTTTCTTTGACTTTGAAGTAGAAGTAGTAGTCACCTCCTCTAGTTTTTACTGACTGACTTTGGGAGATAACTTTCTTCTGTCAGCCCTGCTAGTGATGTTGAGGCTTTCTCAGAAGTTCTATAGATATGTCTGTTCCATGCTTCTTGCTTCAGAATTCTTGCGACAGAATTCTTAAGCTTGCATGCATTCTCTCAATCCTGTAGTACACCAGGCCAAGTGCTGACAGTCTGCCCTGCTTCCTCAAAGGTAGAGCTAAAGCTCATGTTTGTGGTCTCGCTCTGGAACACAGCTGCAGATGGCTTTCTGTGCCTGCCCACTAGCTGTCTGTCAAAGCTTGCTCTTTCCCTTGTCAGGAGCACTCACAGGGAGACAGCCACAGGTTGGGGGTGTTTGGGTGAGGTTTGTGGAGTGCTGGGGTACCTAGGGGTCATTTAGGGGGGTCTGCCAGTGAGACGTCTCTAGTGGCTTGTGGGCAGGCTTCTTGATGGAGTCTTCTTGATGCAGTTAGTAGGATCCATGTCCCTTGAATGCCTTCAAAGTCTTATCTGCTGCTCTGCCTCCTCCTTTTTGCCCCCTCAGCCATGCAGCTCAATGAGTCAATACTTTGGATGAGGCAGGAGACAAATGGATCTCTTTGGCAGCTTCCATGTAGCTGAGGAGCTGGGGAAGCTCACCCCAATGCTCTCACTTTCCCCCATGGGAGAAATCATGGGCTGAAAGGGTCCCTCTTGGCACCGGTCTGTGCCACTTTGGGGAAGGAGGGTTGTAGGTAATGTCAAACTGTTCTTCTTACCCTCTCCAATGCATCCAAACTTGATTTTTTCCCCCAACAGTGTGCTGGAACTTCTCCATTAAAAACCTGGACTTCCACAGATGCTTTCTTATCTGTAGGAGATTGTCTAAGACAGTGCTCTCCAAGGGGCTCCCAGACCACAGCCAAGAGAGGCCCTTGCAGGTTCCACAGCCAGGACTGATATCTATATGCTTTTGACCTGGTGAATGGGTGGGTGATTCCTTCCTTGGCGTGTGGTGTCAGATCCCACAGCCCACAAAAAGTCCTTTTGTCCATGGATAGGTGCAAAATTGTTATTGTTTAGGGGGAGATATGAACAAGGGACATCTTATTTGGCCATCTTACTGACTCCAGCCCTCTTTCTATTATGGTTTTGTGATACACAGGTAGTACCATTTTATTGTGTACCATTTTATTCCTTTATTTCTTTTATTATATATTTTTTAGTTATTTTCTTCGTGGTCACTCTGAAGATTACCATTATCATGAATAACAACCTGGTTCAGATTAATGCCATCTTAATTTCAATAGTGTGAAAACTTTGATCCTTTGGAGCTCCACCACCACCCCTCCTCCACTTTAAAACTGTGATGGATGGAGAAAGGGGTCATGAGCTAAGGAAGGCAGGTGGCCTCTAAAAGTTAGAAAAGGAGGGGCGCCTGGGTGGCTCAGTCATTGAGCGTCTGCCTTCAGCTCAGGTCATGGTCCCAGGGTCCTGGGATTGAGCCTCACATCGGGCTCCCTGCTCTGTGGGGAGCCTGCTTCTCCTTCTCCCTCACTTGTGCTCTCTAGCTCTCTCTCTGTATCTCTCCAATAAATAAATAAAATCTTTAAAAATAAATAAATAAAAGTTAGAAAAGGCAAGAAAACAGATTCTCCCCCAGAGCCTCCAGAAGGAAAGCAGCCCTGCTGACTCATTTTACACTTCTGAACTCCAGAACTATAAGGTAATATATTTGCATTGTTTTAAGCCATTAGGTTTCTGATAAATTGTTATGGTAGCAATAAGAAACTAATAGAGACTTCCATACCTGGAAGTGGGTTACTGCTATAACAAATACTAAAAAAACGTAGAAGCAGCTCTGGAATTCAGAAGAGGCTGGAAGGATCTTGAGTATGATAGAAAAAGCATAGATTTTCTGGAACAGACCTTTGACAGCTACAGGAAATGAATACACCACACTTGGCATTCCTTCTTAAACAGGACCTCTTGCCAATGCTTCGTGCTCATAGTTTCATCATGCAAAGAGCAAGGACTCTCATGCTTAGCTGGAGAAAACAAAAATGGATTGAAGATGTCCTGAACCTGAATAGATGTGGCTTGGAAAGGGAATGTGAGGAGATTACTTTTGGGCTTGAGCACATAGGTTGACCTGCTCTCGGCCATCCCTCTTTCCAGACCCTCCACCTCAAATCTGCCTGGCTTTAGAGGGTCTGATGCTCAGTAAACTGTATGGGGATGTACCATTTGCTTGCACTCCATTCCTGTCTGCCTCCTGGCACCCACAACAACTAGGGATTTAGTCCTGGTTGGCAAATGAGGCTGCAGACTGGAGGGGTGGAGGAGAGGCAGGGAGGGCTATTGGCATGTGGGTCAGTGATTTCCATAGAAAGCAGCCAATAAATTGTCTGCTGCCCTATGTATCAGGGCACTTAGGGGAGTGTTACTTGGATTTGATGGAACCCCACAGCTTGATACAGTAGCCATCTCCCCACCAGATTGGACTGATGAATCTGCACATTTACCATGCAGAATTTATTCAATAGGGCAATAAATCGGGGCACCTGGGTGGCTCAGCCAGTTAAGCATCTGCTTTCAGCTCAGGTCACAATCTCAGGGTCCTGGGATGGAGCCCCTGCTTAGTGGGGGAGTCTGCTTCTCCCTCTCCCTCTGTCTGCAACTCCCCCTGCTTGTGCGCCATACTTTCTCTCTCTCTCAAATAAATAAATAAAATATTTTTTAAAAGTAGGGCAGGATATCTGCTTTCCTTAGTGGGAAGGCTGTCTGTACCTAGGGGGATCAAATACCTCACACGTAGGTCAAATGCCATGCAAGGGAGTATAGACCTTAGGTGGACATTCAGGAAAAAAAGAGGCCCATCCATATACATGGGTGATCCCAAGCTCCTTGGATTGAAATGGGGATAGTGGTGGAGAGAAGTACATTCTGATTTCAGGGAAACTTGTCTCCTTAGAATGTGGGTTGTAGAAGGGACTTCTATATCTTAGGTCACAGTTCCTTCTCCTTCATCGACAATGTACAGGGTTTCACTCTACCTAGTTCATTCTTCTCCAAAGCTGCTTCTCAGGCTCCATATTCCGGCACTCATCATCTCTTGCCTGGATCATGGCAGTAGCCTCACCCTTGCCCGTACTTCTTCAGGCTTGTATGAAACCAATAAGTTACATTTACTGACTCACTTCTGAACCTCCAAAAATGGCATGTCCTTCCTCATTGGCCCAGACATTTTCAACATCTCCTTTTGACCTATGAGGTTGAGTACTGACTTACTACACTGACATTCAGAACCCTTTACTCAACTTTCTTTTCTAAACTTCCCCATCCCTTGACACAGACATGGACTCCAGCTCCCATCTTCTTGGTTTTCACCCTCTTTTATGTACATGCCATCATCATTTCTACCTCTAAGTATTTGCTTCCACTCTTCTTTCTCCTCTTCTAAGGTTTTATTTATTTATTTATTTATTTATTTATTTATTTATTTATTTATTTATTTATTTGAGAGAGAGAGAGAGAGAGCATGCAAGCATGAGCAGGCGTGGCAGGGTGGGGAGGGAGCAGAGGGAGAGGGACAAAGCCAAGGCGGGGCTCGATCTCATAATTCTGAGATCATGACCAGAGCTAAAACCAGCAGTTGGACGACGCTCAACCGACTGAGCTACCCAGGCACCCCCCTCTTTTTTAAGATTTTATTTATTTACTTATTTATTTATTTCGGCGGGGGAGTTCTTTCCCCTCTTCTAAATGATACTGTACTTTTTTCTAGAAAAACTTCGTGCATACATCAAGGATAAGTTGAAGTCATATCTTCTTTATGAAATCTTAATCTAACCATCTTATCAATGGTCGCTTAATCTCTCCTTGATTTCCCAAAGTCTGCAGTGTCTGTATTACTCTAAATTGAAGGAATACTTGGAGGGGGACAGATTGGGGGCAAGTATCCCAGTTAGGGGGCAGTAGCATTAGATTTTGAGAGAGATTGAGGGCAGGGGTCAAGGACTGTGAGAAAGGAGATTGGGGTGTTGCTAAACAGGTGACAAGGGTAGCTGGGATCTGGGCAGTTGGTCTTGGGGACTGGAGTAGTAAGGCTGGAATGCCTGACTGGCTCCTGCCTTAAAGATTCTTCTATAGGCACTCACATGAGCCTACCCAGTAGAAAAGACCAGGGCCAATCCACATTGTCACTCCTCCCAACATGAGCCCACCCTCTGCAACCATGCTTCTCCCTCATCACCAAGATAACACTCAGCTTTTTAATTTCCTTCAAGAAAACACCAAAAGTCAGGTTTTGTACAAAAATATATATATGTATATTGATCAATAGTTACAGAATATACACTTCCACAATAGCATCGTAAGCAATCCTTTAGAATTTAAAACATAGTCTTGCATTAATGATCCTTGCAAGGACCTTCACACCACCCCAGGGGTGGAACTGGGGTCCCCAGAGGAAAGCATTTTTTTCCAAGTCTCCATATTTTAAAAAACACTAGAATTCATGGGAGATAAATTTAAAACATCAATAACTTAAATAAGATTAACATTACTTAAGACATTTTGTGCATATCAGTAAACAAAGTTTTATACTCTTTGAAATTATAATAAAATAATATCAGAGGGCATTTAGGGAGAGTTAGAAGAAAATAAATTAGTTTCAGATTCTTCAGTTTCAGAGTGAGTATTCATGGCTTTGCAGTTTGGATTTGGGTTTTCTTGTCCAGGTGTGCCATGGAATCCTGGACCCACTTCTGGTTAGGGTTAGCACAGATCTCCTTGTTAAGGATGGTCTTGAAGCTGTGGGTGAGAGAGGATACAGTTAGAGTTCCAATGAGATCTCTGCCTAGGACTCCAGCCCATCCTGTCTCAAGAAGCTGCCATACGAACGAGAAGAAGAAGGCAGGTGGTAAGAGGGCACCTAGACAGCTGTCCCAGTTGCAGCCATCCTGACTTTTCTCTAAAGAAATTGGGAGGGTCTGCATATGCACCCATATAGAGAGTGATGTTGGGAGTCACTTTTTGCCTTGTGGCCTCAATTTTCCCATTGGGCACCTTTGGATATTAGATTAGATGACCTATACCTCTGACTCTAAGTTTGTACGGCTTTCTCCTTGCTCCCTGAGGAAGAAATGGACCAGGGAGGGCTGGGGTGCTCAACTTACATCACAGCTTCTTTGGGACACTTGCTGCCGGTGACTCTTTTATAGCTCACCAGCCTCTGCATTGAGATCTTCTTATTGGTGAGTGTATAGCAGCAGGTGACTGGAGAATTAATTGCATCTGGAAATAAGACCACAAAGAAAAAGCATTTTAGGATGGACTAGATTCTTCTGATCTTAATCATGGCAGAAAGGAGTAGTAATGGGAAGACAAAGGGAAGTCAGGAGTAGAGGTAGGACCCATAAATCCCAATATTTCTGCCTATGCTTCAGAGCTAGAATGTCATACTAACTCAGTTTCCTCTGCTTTATAACGGGTGCATAGCATTGATAATGAACGGAGGGAAGGGGGAGCCGTTAAAACTAGATAATTCCTGAGAGTGTCCTTAATCATTAATCCTGGGAGGAATGAATAATCCAAATATTCAGGGTCAGGGAAGATCAGCTCAGGGTCCCCCTCTAGGCTCCAAGTTGTGAGTTTCCCTGATTACCCACTGCCTCTGTGGAGCCCTGTCTCTGGATGCTGGACTTGAATGAAGCACCGTCCAGATTCTGGGTCTCCTCCTTTCCCTTCCACCACATCTGGAAATGCTCTGCGCACCCTCTGCCAGAGGCCCCCTCTTTTGGATCACCCCAGTCCCCCCAAACACGGCTACAAGGAGCAGGGGCAGTAACTGTACTGAGGGGATGACTGTAGAGCTGGAGTCCTGGAAGGACTGGATTTGGGGTCCACAGCTGGAATTCCCAGGAGCCATGTGATCAGTTTTACTCCTTGTCCTTCTCTGACTTTCCTGATCTTGGAAAGCAGTCACGAACGGGAGACTGTGGGTGATCCTCCTGCCCTGGTGGCCCATGAGAACCCAGAGATGTGGTGATGGGCTTTGAAGGGAAAGAGAGAGGGGCTTACCTGGCTGGGCGAGCACCTGGGGGCTGAAGGTGGCAGCCGTGAGCAGCAGGTACAGAAGCGCTGCGGAGACCTTCATGTCAGCGGGGAGCAGGGAGACTGGGCGTGAGAGCTGGAGGTTTCTGTGTTGGTCTAAGCCTCTCTGCTCCTCTGGCTCCTTCGGCTGCTCTTTCTGCCTTTTATTGAGGGCTACGAGGGTGGAGCTAAGAGAGAAAGTTTGGCCCAGGGCAGCATCATTCTCAATGAGTGACGAAGTGGAATAAAAAATGTGCTGAGCAAGTGCGCTGCGGGAGGTTTCCAGGAAGTAGGAGGGAAGCAGTGAGTCTGGACTGGGCACTTTTTCCATCTGCTGCTAAGACCAACAGAAGTGGAGGTGGGCGGTGTGCAGTGATGTCCAGAGCGACCACAGATGTGGACAAAGCAGATTATTCTGAGGAATTCCACTTTCTCTCTGAAGTGAAAACCTTAAAGACCTTCTCACTGATTTCAGCGAATTCCCTTCTTTTGCAAATATGATAGGATTCCTTGAGGCCTGTTAGTGGCTGAGCCAAGCTGGAACCTAGAATTCGGGTCTCAACTCCCTCATTCCACTGCTTTGTGCTTCTGAGCTTGCTTTTGCCCCATGGGCATGGAAGGATCTAGCGACTCTTCTTTCTTAAAGGATCATGGAGACAATGCCTATAAAATGCATGGAGCTTCCCGGAAGAATACTTGCCAATCACTACATTTGTAATAAGAAATGGGTCCTGTTGAGCACAGGACCGTGTCTGGTCCACAGTCGGTGGTCAGTAATGGCAAGAAAAAGGGAGAGCCGCTGGTTTGGAGTGCCTCCTAGCAGCCAGGCTCTTGCTGAGGTGCTTCCCAGAATTGCCTCAGACCTCCAAACCACCCAGCTTCCTTGGGTGGAAACTGGAGGTAAATGACTTGTCCAGGATCTCATGGGTAATAGCAGGTGGAGCTGGGCTCCCTACCCAGGACACTCTGATTCCAGAATCCTTACTCCCAAGTGCTAGGCCTATGTCTCATGACAGATGTTGATTTCCTAGAGAATCTGAGAGCAGAGACTCTGCAGAGAAACCATTCTAGATTCTTGGGTATAATTCCAAAAACACAGAATGAAGAGAGAACAAGTCAACATGTGTGCTGTTTTGCTTCTACCTCTCCCGGAGCCTTATTTTCATTCTGCCTGAATCTTGCTAGTCCTCTAACCCCCCACCCTCATTGAAAGCCCTCTGTGTTTGGCTCAGTGCTCTGCCAATGCTCAATCCATTCTTCTTGGATGAATAAAAATGTTTTACTCATTTTTTGGAATATAGACTGTGCAGTTTCACCCATGTCTTCCCAGTCCACCTCACCTTAACTTCCTTCATATTAATGGAAACCCTTCCCTAATCTCTCAGAGTGTCATCTGCCATGGGCTGGGAGGATTGTATCCCATTTCCCAGTGGAACCCACCCATTCTTTGGGTTCTGTCTGGGTTAACAGGTTAAGGATGCTGAGATCCTGGTTCAGCCATGTCACTGTCAGGCTTAAGGCCGTGGAGCCAAAAAATCTGGAGAGATGGCATGCTCCCACATCTTCTCTTTTATGCGAGGAAACCGTATTCCGGGGGAGGGGGCGTGGGCAACAGACACAGGGTCACACAGGAAATCTTCTTGGCTTTTTGGAGTATTTAGATGGACCTCTGACTCTTTGAGGCTAAGTCTCTACTTCCAAGAAAGATCATCAGTTTTGGAAAGTGACTTGGTCTTTGCAAGTATGAGACAGTAAACAGATCCAATCAGAAGAGAAAGTCTCTTGATAGCCATCTCCCTCCCACCTCCATTGTCAAGCAGAGATGCTCGCCTCAGCTGGAAGGTCAATCACAAGGAGGAGAAACAAATGGAAATTCCCACTCTGAGGCAGCTTTGGAAGTTCCCGGATCCCGTGGAAAATAATGAGTTTGGCTGGAGCCCGCATTCCAGATGCTGGGCCTGGGGCCAGGGCCATCTCATGTGGGGCTGTGCTGGGAACATCCCAGCACAAGATCCGGGTTGGGTCCCTGCTCAGGAGCATACAAGGGAAAGGCCCAAAGAAGGACATTGAGGGAGGCAGGGTCAAGGTTTGGCAGGTCCCTGAAATATACAATCCCCCTGGGCCCCTGCCCATCCAGTCAGAGATGAAGAATGGAAAAATTCTGCTTGGTGAATAATCTCTTTTCCTTCCTTCCAGTGGGCTGGCTCCCCACAGGCATCCTCCATGTGGACCTCTGACAGTGGTGATGGAAAGAGGAACTAAGACTGAGCTTTCTAGAAATATCAGAAACACCTAGCCCCCTGCCTCAGCTCTCTTCTGCAGATCCCCCTCCCCATCTAGCATGGTGCCCCCTTGCCTGTGCTTGCTGTACTCCTTTCCCCCACTCTGCCACTCAGGTCCTTGAGTGAGACCCACAGTGGGTTCTGTACTGGTCAGGTCCTTCCTAGACACCTCCTCCAGGCCTCCTTCCAGGTTAGCTCTTAGCTCCAGGGAGACCAGAGCTGATTTTCCTGGGCCCCCAACTCTGTGACTCCTGTCCTTTCAAGGACTAGAAACCTGTTCTTTATTCTTGTGCAGAATGTCAGATGAGCACAGGACCTTAGAGATCATCTCCTTGTTTCCTTGATGAGGAAAGTGAGGCCGAGAAAGAGGCAGTGGTGGGCCTGGGATGGCATGGAAGGCTGATGGCAGAGTGTGTGTCCATTTCCAGGCTCTCAGTGCAGCACCCTTGTTCATAGCCTGCACTGTCTCCCTAGCACAACACTCATGCAGTTAGCACCAGGAGGGGGACTAGGGTAAGCCAACCAGACATGAAGCTTTTTTTCCAGAAGAGATGATTAAGTATCCATGGGAAGTGGGGCTGAGTTTAGTTCATCCCAAGCTTCCAGCATGTAGGCATTTCCTGTGTCCTGGGATGGATCTGTCCCAGGTTTATTTGCATGCAGGAGTCAAGGATACTACCTGGGGGGCAGGAAAGGGTGCGTCGTGGTGGAGGGGGGTGGGGAGGTGGAGATAGCCTTTGGAAGAGAAAGGAAAGATTCACCTGCAGTGGCCTAGGTTGGTTTGGGGAAGAGAGTGGTGTCCCAGCCAAGCCAGGGGCTTGTCACTTAGACTCCGCTCTGGGCCAGCCCTCATGGAACAGTACCTGAGCCCTGCAGTGAGGGGCTGCCGTGGGGCCCTCATGGAACAGTACCTGAGCCCTGGGCCAGCCCTCATGGAACAATACCTGAGCCCTGCAGTGAGGGGCTACACACAGGGGGTGAGTGTAAGTAAACTGTTGGGATAATTGCAGTGTGAGATGCTGCAGCCCCTCTGAGGGAAGAAGTCACTTTCCTCACTTGGGGATCTCATTGCCCAAGGTGGCCTGAGCAGGTGTCGGGGGTTGGGGGCAGGTAAGCACACTTGCAGTGCCCTTGTGAAGGTGCTGACCTGGGGGATGGACTTTAGGGACACAGAGGTCATGAAAAGCAGGTGGGTAGAAACAGAGAAACATTTTACAACCTTTACTGAATCCTTGCTTTAAGGGAGAGTCTAGAGACAAACAGCAATTGCAGACTGGATAGATGAGGGGCTGTGAGTCCCCGCCATGAGCTCCAGGAAGGCTACATGGTGGTGGTGCCTTTAAGATGGGCATGCGGGTTGCAGGTTCTGAAGCTTGGGGGATTGTTTGGTGGGGGAAGGGCGCATTTTGGAGCCGACTTGTAGCCACTGCAAATTTAAAGCCCTTGCACATCCCCTTGGGATTTTGTTAAAGTACCGATTCTGATCTCTGGTCTTGGGTGGGCCTGAGATCCTGCATTTCCAAACAGCTCCCAGGTGATGCTGATGATACTGGGCCAGGGTCCCACTAGAACAACCTTAAAAGGGCCAAGCGCGGGAAATGCTGGTCAGGTGTGGGGAACAACAAGCAGTTCATTCTCTCCAGACCACAGTTCTTATCTGGGGCTCTTAGCTAGGCTTCAAGAACCATCTGGAATTGTCTTCCACATTTATGTGATTGGGTATTTCTCTAGAGAGAGAGAGAGCATAGCTTCCATCAGATTAGCAATAGCATCCATGACCTCCAAATAATTAAGTACCACGGAACCCATCAAAAATAAAGAGTTCGGGTCTTCACCCCAGACCTGCCGAATCACAACCTATAATTTTACAATGTAAAGCTATATTTTTTTTCTAAGCTGTCCCTCCCACTCCTCCCAGCCTGTGTTTGGGCAACCCTGGGCTGAAGTGTAGGGTACACAAAGCAGGGGCTCTGCTGGTCAGGCTGGGTGGCCCTAACAGAATAAGGCACAGGTAGAAAAGAGGAACGAAACAAGAGGAGAAAGAGCGGGAGAAGGGGGAGGAAGAAGAGGCCCCCTGGACTCATGGAAAGAGCCCCAGGCGGTGCCAGAACACCAGGGCCGGAGGCCTGGCTCTGCCTCTGTCTGGCTGTGTGGCCTTGCACAAGTCACTTGACCTCTCTGGGCCTCTTCTGTAAAGTGTGATTAGTAAGACAGCTGTTTCCAACGTTGTCATGAGACTTGCGTGAAATAATAAGCCAAGGGTGCTTTGTAAGCACCGTGTAAAGAGCTGTGTCACTCTGAGGACCCAGGCCAACTACAGTGGGCAGGCAGCCTAGGGTGCCCATGCCTTGCCGGCCTGGCAGCAGATTGCGCGTGCCTCCACCTTCATGTCTGGCTGCGAAAGTCCATTGGGCATGCATATTATAATGCAGTGAGGTTTCGATTTCCTAAGCTCTTTCTCATCCCTGTTCTCTTGTCTGCCTGGACAGAGGGAGAGCCTTGGGAGGCTGACAAAAACCTGTTAGGGATTAGCAGCCGCAGAATCAAGTTTGGGCCTTGGCTTGTCACACAGCCGGCTGTCGCTGGAAGCTCATGTTCCCACAGGCCCCTATCCACCCTCAAAGCCTGTGTGGCTCTCTCAGCCTCCCCCTCTGCTTCCAGAGCCCTCTGTACCCCATCCCACCTTGGGGCTCTGGCCTGTGCTGGATCCCAGCCCCCGAAGCCGTGTCTTTCATGCAGTAGGTTCTCCATAAATACCGTTTGAACCTATAACCGGTCCAGGAATCTCCAGTTGTTTCCCCAGATACCCGAACTGCTGAACGGTTTAGTATCAGCCAGGGAAATGAGTAGAGAAACAAGACTGTTGG